GTGGCGTTTGGTTGGAAAATCTGTCTTTTTTGCAAAAGCAACCCTCCTCCACCCCGTTCAGTGCCACCTCCTGTCAGTTTTGTTAGTTATGCCCCGCGCCAATTCCAAGCGGCGGGCTCCTTCTGGGCCGACGAGTGGAGCGAAGCGTGCTCGGGGGCGGCCTCGCAAGTCTTCCCGTCAAGATGCGTTGGTGGTCGCGGCCCTTGCAGGGTCTAGTGCACCGCAGCTTGCATCGCCCGGTCCGGATACCACTATTATACCGTTGGTTACGGTCGGAATGATTCCAGACATTGCGAGTGTTGAGGCTACCCATGCAACGCCAGCGCCCGCTACCATCAGTCGGCCTGGAGGGAGCTCGGCGCAAACTTTGGAGCCGGGTAAGTCCCCTGTTACGGGCGGGAACCTACTCCTTTTGAATTAGCCCCGCAACCTTCCATTTTCACGCCCGTGGTGTCGGAAACTTCAGCTCCAAGCACATTGTCAATTACCTCCTTTTCCGATTTTGAATATGCCATGAACTAGCGCCTGTGACGATCTCGGGGCTGCGATTCCTCAACATCTGAAAGACAAAATTTGGAGGGGGGAGTACGTAGAATTGGGAACCTTGTTGAAGTCGTCGCGCGGCATGGGATTGGATAATTCCTTTGACGAGACGCTTTTTACAATCGGGTCCTATGAGTCCCCACTTTGGCAGATTCGTCCCCATAAGCAGGCTCCGCGTATTATGTCTATAGAGCAGTGGATGTCAGTGTTTCTAGTTTTTGCATCTGTGTATTTGTTGCGCCATCCTACCCACGCACGTTCGTTACTGAAGTACGCAGACACTATTCGCTCGGCAGCATTTCGACATGTGGGGTATGGTTGGCACGAGTACGACATCCAGTTTCGATTGCACCAGGCGCTAGTGCCGTCACGCTCTTGGGCAACTATTGATGCCGAACTTTGGCTGGTGCTGCTTGGTGCGCCCGTTTCGCACCAGCATAATTTTTGTCCGTACCAGCAATGTNGCAGGTTTAGTTCAATCAGTTAGCAAATTGTATCATTCTAGTGCCGACTATGGCACATACTTACACTGCCATTATCGCTTCCCGGATGATGCCACTAATGCTATTTACTTGTTAGATAGACAGCCCTTCCTCGATGGACACCCCCATGTGCTGCGCTCATTCAAGCAACCTCCCCCGCCGGGTACAGAACCGATCGCTCTTGCGTCCCTTCTTCCTTCTGCGGAAAGGGTTTCCCCACTCCCCATTATCCATCCACCAACACCAACCCTGGTTTCGCGATCAAACACGTCACCCCCACCACCTCAAATTGTGCACCCCACGGGTGCGTTCTCTGCAGTAACATCTTCCGAGCCTGTCTCAGCACCGACCATGGGACCGATCCCTGTGGCCCAACCCTTGCTTAATACCGCCGTTCCAGGCCCTGTTCAAGACAATCTGACTTCGGCATACAATCCCTCTCACCCTCTCCAATTGCCGCTGTTAAGTCCCCTTCCCCAGCGCCCCATGCCCGCCTACCCGCCACTGCCCCCTCCCCTCTTACCAACGGGTTATGTCCAACCCCCGCGAATATCATTATTCATGGGCGATTCAACCAAAGGGCATGGAGTGGACTTTGATACCTGGAAGTTTGAAGTGGAGTCACTCCTTCGTGACGCCACATACTCTGAACGAGTACTTGCCCCATATGTCCGACAGTCCATTCGTGGGGAGCCCAGTCGGCTTATTCAGACACTTGGCCCCCATGCCTCAATCCCCCAACTCATTCATGAACTTGAAGCCAGCTATGGCACAGTCCAAGATGGACCGGCTCTCCTTCAAAAAGCCTACAATAGCCAGCAGGAGGACCAGGAGTCTGCAGCAGCCTTTGGCAGACGCTTGAAGCTCCTGGTTTTTGATTCGTGTCGCCGGGGTGGATTACCCCAATCCTCTATGGACACTGTCCTCCGTCAAATCTACTGGCGGGGACTGCGCGACCCTGACGTCCGAAATGCCTGCCGCCATCTTAAAGACACTGTCGCCGATTTTGATCATTTAGTTCGCCTTGTTCGTAAGGGCGAACAAGAAGCCCAGTCAATTTCACGACGGCCCTTGAAAGTACAACGCCCCCCACAACAGCCTGCCTCTGTCTCATCCACTTCGGACCAGCCATTTTCCGAGGCACTTTCCAGCATCAACTCCACTCTGGCTGAACTCAAAGTCGCCCTTCACCCCCCTCACACTCCCTCACCCCAACCTTCTTCTCAGAAGCCCGGTACTGCCCAACCCCCTGTGCGTCAACAACCTGTTGAATGTTTTCGGTGTGGCGAGCAGGGCCATATCTCCAAAGGTTGTCGCAACCCTGCCAAACCAAAGACGAGTGGCACCACCCACCAAACACAGTTAAACAGTCCTCTGCCTCCACAGAGGGGAATGTGGCAGGCAGCAACACCAAGTCCCCGCATGACATCATCCACCCAAACAGTGTAATCCATAGACTTGTCGGTAGTGCCAATGAGGCGGATGCATTCCTAGGAGGAGTCAGTTGTAAATGCCTCGTTGACACTGGCTCACAGGTTACTACAATATGCCATTCATTTTACAAGAAATACCTCCCTCACATTCCTATCAAGCCCCTTAGTAATTTGCTGCATGTGCAAGGAGCTGGAGGTGCATCAGTCCCCTTTCTGGGTTACATAGAAGTGGAAATTTCTTTTCCCCTGCACTTCAAGAAAGGTTCAGCTAAGTACTGGACTTTAGCCCTTATTGTTCCCGACACACCCTATCACATGGATGTACCTCTTCTTGTTGGCACCAATGTAATTGCTCAGTGTAGGTCCCACTGTTTGCAAGCGTATGGGACACGCTTCGCTCAGAAGGCAGCCCTGCCGCAAGCCTGGCGGCTGGCTCTACAGTCATTGAAGACCTATAAACCCAATAAGAAAGATTTGGAGGTGAAGACAGCAGGTAACAGCCATGTTGTCGTACAACCAAATGACACAGTTGTCATTAATGGTTACATAAAATCAAGTCCGCTCGCTATGCAGTGCCACGTGGTGACGGAAGCATCTTCATGCACCAGTTTACCAGGTGGCTTGGAAGTCCTTCCTTCGGTGGCCACACTCCCACCACAGACTACAATCTTAGGTGTTCCTGTTGTTATCAGGAACTTAACACTAAAGCCACTGACAGTTAGTCCAAAGTCCATCCTCTGCAAGGCAAACCACGTCACTGTCATCAATCCACTTGATGCTCTGGACGTGGCTTCGCCTGACTCGGCTGAGAACAAGACTACTGATGGTTTTCTGGAGCAGTTTGACTTCACGAAATCACCAGTAGGAGCTGAGAACTTAGACCGAGTAAAACACTTCCTGAAGGAGTGGAAACAGGTTTTCTCCCTTCATGACAATGACCTCGGTCACACGACAACTGTCAAACATGAGATCAAGCTAAAAAACGATGTCCCTTTCAAGGAACGCCACCGCCGGATTCCACCATCCCAGTATGATGAAGCGCGTCAACTGATTAAGGATATGCTTGATGCAGGTGCAATCAGGGAGTCTACTTCGCCATGGGCATCTCCGGTTGTGCTTGTTCGGAAGAAGGATGGTTCACTTCGGTTCTGTATAGACTATCGTAGACTGAACGAGAGAACTATCCGAGATGCCTATGCACTTCCTCGCATCGAGGAAACTCTTGATGCCCTGCATGGAGCACGGTGGTTTTCATCCTTGGACCTGAAGTCTGGGTACTGGCAGGTCGAAGTAAGAGAGGAAGACAAGGCTAAGACTGCATTTACAACCCCCCTTGGATTCTATGAGGCCAACCGCATGCCTTTTGGCCTCACAAATGCTCCAGCGACGTTTCAGAGACTAATGGAACGTTGCGTTGGTGACCTCAATCTCAAGACGTGCCTTGTTTACCTTGATGACATCATTGTATTTTCTCGTACTTTCACAGAACACCTTGAACGACTCAAGTCAGTTCTCCTGCGACTTCAGGAACACGGCTTGAAACTGAAGCCATCTAAATGCCAGTTGTTTCGGACCTCTGTTAAGTATCTGGGACATGTAATTTCTGCAGATGGAGTTGAAACTGACCCCGATAAAGTAACCGCTCTGAAGGAATGGCCCACACCGACGAATCACCAGGACGTCCGGTCATTTCTTGGGTTTGCTGGGTACTACAGGCGTTTTATAGCTGGTTATTCGAAAATTGCCAAGCCACTACATGCGCTTACAGCTGGCCTCCCCGCTAAACGTAAGTCATGCTCCTCACGTAATAAAAAAGTGCCACCATTCACTTGGACCCCTGATTGTCAGAAATCTTTCGAGACGTTGATTTCACACTTGACAACAGCACCAGCACTGGCATATGCAGACTTCAGCCAACCTTTTATTCTGCATACAGATGCTAGTCTCACTGGACTTGGAGCTGCACTTTATCAGCTCCAGGATGGCAAGGAGCGAGTTGTGGCATATGCTAGTCGGGGCTTGTCCAAGAGTGAACGGAATTACCCCGCCCACAAGCTAGAATTTCTCGCTCTCAAATGGGCAGTCACAGAGAAGTTTCATGATTACCTATACGGAAACCAGTTCAAGGTTGTGACTGACAATAACCCCTTGACATATGTGTTGACAACCGCAAAGCTGGATGCCACTGGCCATCGCTGGTTAGCTGCACTTTCTGCATATAATTTCACATTGGAATACAGAAAGGGAAAGCAAAACGGAGATGCAGATGGCCTATCTCGCCGTCCCCACTCTGCTCCAGCAGAGAGTAACACCATGGCGACAATAAACAGTGAGGTGTTTCAGGCTGTTGTCAATTCCCAAAGTGTAAACTTCACTGGGGAATCCCCTACCCTTCATATTCCATTAGTCGAGGCACTTGCTTTGCAAAACAGTGCCATGCCCTCTGCTATTGACAATCCTCCCCTGTGGCCTGGGCAGAGCTCTTTACCTAGGGTAACCATGGAAGAATGGAGGAACTATCAGCAGAGTGACCCTATTTTGGCAAGAGTTATCAGATACAAAGAAAGTGGTCACCCCCCTGACAAAGAACAGAAGAGGTCTGAAGATCGTGACGTCCTCTTAATCTTGAGGGATTGGGACAGATTGATATTTCGTGATAATGTCCTCTTCCGTCAACGTCAGGAGCGCGATGGTGAAAGACTCTTTCAGTTACTCCTCCCCAAAACTCATCGTGATATGGTTTTCAAGTCACTCCATGATGAGGCTGGTCACTTCGGTCGTGAACGCACCCTGGATCTAGTTCGTTCAAGGTTCTTTTGGCCCCACATGGCCAACGACATTGACAAGAGAATACGAACATGCCCCAGGTGTATTCGGAGGAAGCTCCCCCCGGCCGCCGTGCGTTCTGCACCTCTGGTTAACATTAAGACCAGTGAGCCAATGGAGCTTGTCTGTATAGACCA